TTATATACTTCAGGAATTCTGTCGAATACCAAGATCCGAAGGATTTACAGAACAATCATTTGCAATAGAAAATAAATTTCTGCCAAGAACTGTGTTAAGGTCATTTTTACATTTTATCAACAAAAATAAGCATTTTAATTTTGCAAGAGTACGCATGTATATGTATATTATTTACAGTATGTACCTTGTTCCAAAGCAATGTTAGAGTGTACATCAGTGTGCTGGTTGCGTATAAGTAAATGGGTACAAGGGCAGGTATCTAGTTCTACTGGACTACGCTTCCGATCTGAACCAAACCAAATAATTAGAATTATAATTACACTTTTCCTTTTAAATAAATTATGCTTCCTATTTGCTTTAAAACTTAAATATTTTTCTCTAAGATTTTGAAAAATTTGTTCCTAGATAGCAGAAGATTTTTTTGCCAGCCTGTCCAGTACCCTTGCATTCTGTTCCTAAATTAAAATAATATTAATAATAATGATTATAATTTAATAATAATAATAATCATAACAATAATAATAATGATAAAGAGAAATAAAATATTGATAATTCTTAAAATTAGAAACTAGATGATATTTATTATCAATGTCAAAACCAGTTTTTGTTACTCTTAACAATAATGATAAAAACAGAACAAGTATTGTACATACATGAAATTTAAATTTAAAAATTAAAACACGTAAATATGAAAAGAAAAAAGTTCTACATCTAATAACTGAAATAACTTAGAGAACTTAAATAACTTATATAACTTGAATAACTTAAATAACTTAAATAAATTAAATAACTTAAATAACTTAAATAACTTTTGTAACTAAAATGAATTAAATAACTTAAATAAATTGAAAAACTTAAAATTGAAAAAAATGAACAACATTTCTTGTTTTCTGTTTCTACCAAGTTTGAATATATGTATTATTCTCATCATTCTAACAATACAAGCAAACTATCTATTCTAACAATACAAGCAAACTATCTATTCTAACAATACAAGCAAACTATCTATTCTAACAATACAAGCTACCATTTATGGAAACTCTAATGTTAATCCCCTTAAAATATAAAATTTTAAATACTATAAACTCTATCCCGATTGGGCTATTTTCGTCTAATATATATAGGGGGAAGGGGTGTTTGCACCCCCCGCTCTAATTTGCCCTTCGTGTTACGAAAGGGGAGTGTGATACATGTTCCTTGTCCAACTTTTCAATGCCAGCTCATTGTAATACACGTTATCCCTTTCTTCACGTTACAGTAAGGTTGTATAACAAGTTAGGTTACTCTCGATGCGCCGCTCCAATGTACGGGAAATGTCGTCTCCTGCATATGACGTTCCACTCGACTCTATAATCAGTGACGTCATTTGTGGATTCTATCTATCTATCCATCGAGACTGGGAAAGGAAACAAGAAAGGAAAAAAGAAAAGAAACAAGAAAGGGAGTGAATGACAAATTATCAGATATTCAAAATTAAATTGACGAATTAAAAAATTAAACTAAACGTATATGGCACAGGAAAAGGTTTAATAAAAATATTAAAATTGAAAGAAAGATCGATGGATAGACAAGTAGACAAATAAACGAATAGATCTATAAAACTAGAATTTTGCTCTGATTTAAGTTTCTTATTTAGAAAAGGTGAAGTTTTTTTAAAGCTTGAGATAAAATATTAAATAAAAAGCTTTTTTTTTAAAAAAAATCCAATCTACGTGCCAGATTATCTTGTGTACCCCTAGTATACCCGGAAAACATAGGTGTAGAAAAACCAGACTAATGTCCTGGAGCGAACGCTAAATAGATCAGCGTTTATATTCAGGGATATCTATACTCTTTATTACCCTAGAAAAATATCAATTTTGAAAATTTTTGAAAATTGAAGAAAAAATGGTTGGGCAAAATTTATATTGCCCTTTATCCCTGCTCATAATTTATCATGGTTTAAAGATTATAAATATGAGGGATATCTAAAATTTTTTTTATTATAGAACCCATAACTTAAACACTAACTTGAAATTAAGTGTTTTTAGCTTTTTTACAGTAGAAAAAGACAGTAAGCCTGACTTTATAAAAAAAGTTATGTTTAAAGGGACTGTGAAGTTAATTAAAATATGTTTAAAGGGACTGTGAAGTTAATTGAAATATGTTTAAAGGGACTGTGAAGTTAATTGAAATATGTTTAAAGGGACTGTGAAGTTAATTGAAATATGTTTAAAGGAACTGTGAAGTTAATTAAAATATGTTGAAAGGGACTGTGAAGTTAATTAAGATATGTTGAAAGGAACTGTGAAGTTAATTGAAATATGTTTAAAGGGACTGTGAAGTTAATTGAAATATGTTTAAAGGGACTGTGAAGTTAATTGAAATAAGTGTGACCCTACATCTCCCATTTCTCAAAGTATCCCTTTAATCTTTGAGAAGGTTTCGCCTTTTTTCCATCTAAACCAATGTTGAATTCTGATATTACTTTCTTTGTCTGTGCTGCAAAAAATTACTTGAATTTAAATATTAAATTTTTGCATGAGCAGCCCTCTAAGTATATGTTTGTTGTAATGAACGGTTAGGAATTCTCCAAAATTTGTCTAAATTGCAGCAACAAGTGCATTCTGAGTTGTAAATAATGTTAAACTGCAGTTAGCTTCAGAGCCCTGTGAGGGAGGGAATCCTTGACCGCCATGAGCCTCCCCTATGCAGACCGAGCTTCTCAGATTTACTTTACAAGACGAGCCTGCGCCGTACATTATATAGCCACCGCTATTCAGTAAAAGAGCCTCCGCCATGCAGCACAGCTTTTTTAATCTGCTAGACTCTTCTGCTGCTGCATAATAGCAGATGCTCATGGCAGCCGGGGGTTCACAACCTAGCCCTGTATAGATCCTGGATGCTCATGGAAGCCGGGGGTTCACAACCTAGCCCTGTATAGATCCTGGATGCTGGAAGAGAGTCCAATTAAAGTTTTGCAACCAGGCACTGAAAACCAAGGTGTGCACGCTCTCATGTAAAAGTCGAGAAGTATTTTTCCAATTACTCCTTTAAGCTTAATCGGTAGAAACAGTATAGATAATGCATGTTCAAAGCCCAAGTTTTCAAGGCAAGCTCATTTAAAAAAAATTAGACCGCCAACTTTAATAGAGTGGGTGTTAGACAGGGTTGAACAATTGCTTAAAAAAGGCCGTGTAGGGAAATGTAGAAAATAATTTTTGTGTTTGTTACAAATATCAAGATGTGAAACACGTTTCTACATCCATTTTTCAACAATTGTTTGGACGTCCCCTCCCTCTATATTTTTTTGCCGTTGCCCTCTTTTTTTACTAAAGCTTCAGGTCCATGAAAATGTTCTTCAAAATAAGATATTGGACGACTTGTTAACTATTAATAATTATTAATAATCATAATGAAGCTGGATTCTGATTAAATGATTGAAAAAAAACAAGAAATAAACAAATAAATCTTTTTTAAACTAACCTTGCAATAACCCCCTCCCCAGAAACTCCGTCATCTCCATCATAAAAGCATCCCCCCTTAACTCCTCCATAATTCCCCTAAATCTCCCCCGACACCCATTCCCTAGCCAAACTCCCCCTACATCACCTCAAACCACGGGCAGCCGTAGTACATTTAAATTTCCGATCAGGGTCAACCTTTCCGGTCCCAGTTTGTACTGTATCGCCCGGACATTGTACTATATAGAAATAACCTTAGAATAAACTGAATGATGATGTATCTATCTATCTATCTATTAGAATAGCTTGGAATTGAATGCATATGCATCCAGGAATTTCTGTTTGATATCCTTGATATTTAACAAGAAATTTTTTTCAATTAGAATTCAAGAATTCAAGAATAATTGTTCATTTATTTTGAAACTCTTTCCTGACCTTTGACCTTTACATTTCAAGTATATTTTCAATTAAATCTGTTGCAGATATTTTCATATTGTAACAGATAGTTTTCATATTGTAATAGATGATTTTATACTTGTAACAGGTTGTTTTATACTTCTAACAGATTGTTTTATACTTGTAACAGATTGTTTTATGCTTGTAACAGGTAGATTTCAAATTTTTCCTTTTTCTTTTTTATAAAGCTTAAATACAGATGGAAAGGCTTTTCAGTTTCTTCCACTGTTGAGAAAACTGTATAGTAACATATTTGTTTCCATCATTTGTTGATCATTTCAAGCTTTTTTTAAAAGACAAATTGAGTTTAAGATATATCCATTATCCAGTCAATTACACCATCTAATCCTACTTTTTGTTAAGATCTGTTTTCATGTCCCCCCTCCCTCTTCCATTGCCCCCCAAACCCCTCGTGCAAGCAAATTCATTTGATTTAATTTAATAAAATGTGTATTAATAATATTACGAATTGATTTAAAGTATATCTAACCTGTTGTGGGGTAGGCTACGCAGGCCAAACCAAATATAAAGAGCCAGGCTCTCATGCTACCAGTTTAACAGAGTTACAATTTAAAGTAACAAATTTAAATGCTTGATATTTCAAAATACGACGTTCTTCTCTATCACCGTTCAAGTTTCTTTCTAAATATCTATCTATATCTATCTAAATATCTTAATATCTAACCAACTATATATATACATACGTACTTCTATATCTAACTAAATTTCTAACTATCTAACTGTTTATCAAACTATTTATTTATCTAAGGAGTATATTCCTTGTTTACTATTTATCTATCTATCTAGGGAGTATATTCCTTGTATACTATTTAGCTATTCCATCTAAGGAGTATATTCCTTTTATACTATTTATCTATTCATCTAAGGCGTATATTCCTTATTATACTATTTATCTATCTATCTAGGGAGTATATTCCTTTTATACTATTTAGCTATTTCATCTAAGGAGTATATTCCTTGTTATACTATTTATCTATCCATCTAAGGAGTATATTCCTTATTATACTATTTATTTATCTATCTGTTTATCTAAGAACTGATAAGGATTGAAGATCTTCTTCTCTTTATAAATCTATAATGCTGATGATGTTCAAGCCGAATATTGTAAAAATCGATTAACACATATTTTTTGTCATTATTTTATCTCCGGAATATTTGCAAACGATATGGTCTGTTCTTGTATGAACACATGAAGATTTTAAAATAATCAGAAAAATCAATAAGGATTTTTTGAATTTGAATTGATTTTTTTATAATTCATTATTTATCGATTTACCAAAGACACCCTAAACGTAGCACTTATCCCATTAATTTTCAATCACCNCGGCATATTAGAATAGGTTAACTACAAAAGTAAATACCCCCAATCCTCCTCCATTTTGAAAACTGATGAATAACATGTCCGGCAGCTTTAACAATGAAAGTGTCCAATGGGTAACACATATTATGCTCGTATATTCCAAATATTTATTTTGAAATTTTTTTATTCAAATTTGTTCCATATTTTGTTAGCAAAGTTGATAACTAGAAGAGCAATATTGTTTAACGCTATTTCCTTGAATAATTTTTTAGTTGTGCATATTTTTTTTGAGCAGAATGTACATGTTATTTTAAAATATCTAGATACTGTCGATACACTAATTTATATTCTGAAGTTGTTTAAACTCTAACCTGTAGTTCACGCTTTACGCAGGCTTACGCAAATTTTTTCAGCATTTATATTTTGTGGGATAGATAGTATTAATAAACGATTAAGAACATTAATAAGACTATTAGCGTATATATAAGTACCGGTCCAGACCTGAGGTTTACCGCAGAACAGTAAACTCATGGTTAGATACATGCATTAGAACGATTATCGTGGGTAAAAAATATGTTCAGACATTCTGCATATGCAAACTTTGTCAAAAACTAAAAAGTTTGAGAATATACCTTTTTTAGTGTCCGTCAATTTCCTTTGCATGTGCTACTTAGCTTGCACACATATTCAGAAAACCTTCTCCGAGTGCACTGAGAGGTTTCGTGATTGTAAACATTTTTCTAAAGGTTTCTCAAAACATTTTCCCCCACTGTGGATAGAATGAAATGAAAAGAAAATAACGTAAATAAATCTTCAAACTAGAGAGTAATTTTATCTTATCTAAGCTATGTGAATTTGAGTGTGAAAAGCCTGTTTTCTTGATTATATTGAGGATTAAATGTATACTGGTCAGGATTAGGATTTAAAGCTGGTAATCCTATTAAAAAAGTCAAATAATTCATTCACATCAAGATTTTAAAGGGACTGTAAGCCTAATTTCAACTGACTCTCCATTTAAAGATGGTAATGTCCGATTTGCAAAGGTAACATTGTTTAAAACCTGAATTTAATCAAAAATGTTGAATATACAATTATTTTTCTGATAATTTATCCATTGCTTCTAATAACCAAGAAATGCGCAAATCACGTTTGAAAAGAAACCGCAAATGAAAATAAACAGTTTTAAGACAAAGCTTTGTAGGGTAACTTTACACTTTCCGAGTCAGACAAATGACGTTTTCTTTCAAATCTATTTTGATATTAGGGTTTCAAATGCAAGGTATCGTTGTGAATCGTGCATTTGAATATAAATGGAGGGCAACTTGAAATTACGCTTACAGTCCCTTTAAGATTAATTCTATCTTCGTTAAAACTTATTGTTTTTCAGCTTCCTGCATGTAAACCTCTATTTAAGGAAATATACTCTACTCTATTAAAAGTTTTATGTTTATTATTTAACATTTATGATATAATTATGAATAGATCTATTGTTCGTAGAAAAAGAATAAATGATGGGGGGGGGGAGGTGCTACTGCATTCCGTAAAGTTCAATTACACTAGACCGTGAGAATAATTGAGTAAACTCATCAAACTCATGTTATCAGAGGTTGATTTAATATCTAACAACAAGTAGTTGAACTAGCTAAATAATGGTTACTACTCTAGTGCACTCTCTCAGCTACACAAGAGATGTAGTTGAACTAGCTAGGTATGGTTACTTCTCTAGTACGATCTCTCAGCTACACAAGAGATGTAGTTGAACTAGCTATTTATGGTTACTTCTTTAGTACACTCTCTCAGCTACACAAGAGATGTAGTTGAACTAGCTAGGTATTGTTACTTCTCTAGTACACTCTCTCAGCTACACAAGAGATGTAGTTGAACTAGCTAGGTATGGTTACTTCTCTAGTACACTCTCTCAGCTACAAAAGTGGAGTAGTTGAACTATAGCTAGGTATGGTTACTTCTCTATTACACTCTCTCAGCTACACAAGAGGAGTAGTTGAAATAGTTGGTACACTCTCAGCTACACAAGATATGTAGTTGAACTAGCTAGGTATGGTTACTTCTCTAGTACACTCTCAGCTACACAAGAGATGTAGTTGAACTAGCTATGGTATGGTTTCTTCTCTAGTACACTCTCTCAGCTACACAAGAGGAGTAATTGAACTAGCTAGTACACTCTCAGCTACAAAAGCGAAGAATAGATCTAATATTCATTTCGACGTAATATTTTGTATAGTTCAGGATCATTTAGATAAATTGCATTTATGGAAGGAATCTGTTTAGAGCTGGGGAGGGTAAAATGCAATGTTTAGAGCGGGGGAGGGTAAAATGCAATGTTTAGAACGGGGGAGGGTAAAATGCAATGTTTAGAGCGGGGGAGGGTAAAATGCAATGTTTAGAGCGGGGGAGGGTAAAATGCAATGTTTAGAACGGGGGAGGGTAAAATGCAATGTTTAGAGCGGGGGAGGGTAAAATGCAATGTTTAGAGCGGGGGAGGGTAAAATGCAATGTTTAGAACGGGGGAGGGTAAAATGCAATGTTTAGAGCGGGGGAGGGTAAAATGCAATGTTTGATTGGCGCAACCCAAAGAAAGGTCTTGGGGAAGCATTTATTTATTCAAAGTAGTAATCTTTGTTTGTTTGTTTGTCTGATCAAAACTCATGAAACTCTGGACTGATTTGCATCAAATTTTGATTCGGGAACTCGTAATATCCACGGAAATGTTTTTAACCCGAGTTTAAGAGTTGTTTAGATTCTCCATACAAAGCTGCAGGTCCCAAGCTAGTTATACTTAAATCATAAAATGAGGGGGGGGGCTTTTCTAGTTTTTTCCCCTCGCACAATGTACATTGTACATGTATATATGTACGTTGTACGTGATATGTTTACTTATTGTACAGGGAGATTCATATCACATCAGATTAGTTATTGACGATTAGCTAAACTTTAAATTATCAAATTAAATTAAGTAGATATATCTAACTAGTGTTGAATAATAGATTAAAAAATATATTTAACTTTCTTTAATTTGTTCATCAAAACATTTAATTGAAATTTTATTTAATCTGTATTTTAGTTCTCTTGCACGTACGTGACTACGCTTTGCGTATTGTATATAGCTCTAGAGAGGAAGGAAGAAAGGAAGGAAGAGGAGATGTATATCCTGGTATCTATGTCTAACTCTAAAACGTGATTACAAGACAAAGTACGAGAAGAGGAGGGAGGATCCATGAAAACCAAATTGAAATGAATTGAAATCAGTGATTCCTAATTATTTTTCGACGCATTAGTAAATAGTTGACATTTCATAATATTTTGTATATTTCATGATCTGAGAGTTTCTTTTGAAAACATTTATTCCTGTTTCGAGGATTTTTGATAATGAAGACGACATTTTCATATTTTCCAGGAATGTTCGAAAATCCAGCGCCAGCGATTGTATAGGATGTACAATACACAATACACATGAGGTTTTAAATGTGTCAAAGTTACAAAGGGGGAAGGGGTCTTGGGAGAAATCAGCATCATTGGAATACTATTGGAGACCCCAGAAGTCATATCATCGGAGACCCACGGATTTCAATTGGAGACCCCCAAGCTTTTCATAAGAAATCCCAATCTTTTGTCAGAGACCCCCACATTTTATTGAAGAGCAAGGGGTCTCCAATAAAAATATTGAGGTCTCCAACGAAAAAATGGGGTCTCCAATGAAAATATCGGGGTCTCAAATGAAAATATATGGGGGGGTCTCTGATAGTGCTTCCTCCAATGATGTGATTATTTCTACCCGGACTAGTGCAAATGGTGTGTTTTTCCTGTTTAATAATTGTTTAAAAAACCGTAATTATTTGTTATACAAATATAAGCATTCGACTTTTTGCCAAAAAATAATGAATTTAATGAATCAGTTCAATAATTTAGAATGACTGCAGGTTTTTGTAAGATATAGTTGAAGAATTGAAAATCAAAGACTACAGAAAACTTTGGCAAATTGGCATCAAACATTTCTTACAATTTTCATGTTCGATGAACCGTTCAATCCCCTGCCCCCCCCCCACCTCCCCAACTTCCGGTGGGGGGGGGAGGGGGGGGTCCCTTGAACATTTCCGTGAGTACATTGAATATTATCTAATGAACAATGGGATTCTGATATAATTCAGCAAATCTGAGACAATACATGTATAAAGTTATATAGTCCCCCTCCCTTTCTAGTTCTTT